CATCTTCAAGCAACAGTTAAACAAGATTTGGTTTTTTTGTTGTTGTTGTTGCTGTTGTTTCTTTTTGGGTCACACCAAGTGATGCACAGGGGTTACTCCTGGCTCTGCACTCAGGAATTATTCCTGGCAGTGGGGTCAGGGGACCAAATGGGATGCTGGGGATTGAACTAGGGTAAGCCGCGTGCAAGGCAAATGCCCTCCCCGCTGTGCTATCGCTCTAGCCCCAAGATTTGTATTTCTATACCTTGTTCGGGTCAGATTGCAAATATTTTTTAATATGAAAAACTTTACCTGTAACTCTACACTAGAAAAATAAGATAGTGCCTAAAAGAAAATTTGCACATTGCTATTATTATTTATTTTTAATCTCCTGTTTAAACAGGAATATGAAACCCCATAAAGTTTGGAAACACTCGTGTCCAAAGCCAAATTTTGAAGTATTTGGAGATCAGAAAAAGGAAGTGTGTGCCTTTATTGGTGTGAGAGTATAACTGGAGGTTCTCCAAATTAACTTCCAAAATAATACAATGTGATTGGAAGATACTTAGTGAAGTCATCCTAGTTTGCAACTCATACCTATTGAGATGAAAAAGATTCTCATTTTCTGATCTTTGTAATCAAAGACCTTGAATGCCATCATTTTCAATGCACTCTGACCCTTGTTGTCAACTCATTCTATAGCCAAAACCTGACTCAGGCATCCTTCTCTAATGTTTGCTTTCTCCCTTGTAATTGTCCTTTACTCCTCTAGATGAGCTTTAGACCCTCGTTGTGGTTTTTTGTTGTTGTTATTGTTGGTTTTTAAGAGAGTCAGATTTTATGGCCTATTATTTCAGCACACCTTAATCCTTCCCCCTGTGAGTTTGATCCCTGGCACTGCACAGCCCCCAAGCTCTGCTGGTCGTAGCTCTATTTTTTTTTTCTTTTGGGGTCACACCCAGGTTACTCCTGGCTCTGCACTCAGGAATTACTCCTGGTGGTGCTGGGAGGACCCTATGAGATGCTGGGAATTGAACCCTGGTCGGCCGCATGCAAGGCAAATGCTCCACCCACTGTACTATTGCTCCAGGATGGTCTTAGCCCTATAAGAAAAAAAAAAAATAGTCATTCAGAGTTTGTCATTGTCATCTTCCACATCTGCCTCATGGCCATATCTTTATAATAATCTCCCCAAAGCGTTCCAAATCAGTCTCCTTTTCCATTTCCACTAGTATCACTTTAGTTGAAGCCACCATGATCTCTTATTTGAAATTTCTACAGGGATATTACCTTCTCTGGCCCATTCTTCACAGCAGTCATCATGTTGTTTCCAAAATGCAAATTCTCATTGTAGAGAAATGCTCAAGGAGAAAGTTTTAAATAAGGAATGTGTCCGTTGCATATCTAAATAAATGCTCCTTTGTTTCAAGTCCGGCTTTTATTTCCAACTTCTCTTAGGAAAACAAACTAGAATTGAAATCTTCGATACTTACATGTCCCAATGCCCCCTCTCCAGCAGGGCAAAAATTGCTTAGCACCCAACCCTGAAAACGAATAAAAAAATAGAAATTACTCTCCAGTTGCACCCAAGTCTACTACTGTGCACCCGCCCCCTGTATGGTTCCAGCACACACACACCCCTGCCAGTATCTCCCACTCTGAGAATCACTGTGTGGTCTAAAGCAGTGGGTCTCAAAGTTAATTCACTCAGGCATCACCAGCACAAACTTAAAACTATTGAATTTCGGTCTCACCCTCAGATGGTTGTCATGGTTGTAGTCCTGCTCTCAACCCTGTTATTAGGAATAGTTTGAGAACCCCTGCTGTAGGAGTCCTGTCTAATCTACATTCCTATCCAGTTTCAGCTGCTTCTTTTGTCACCTGTCCCTTTGATCAGCCCTATGGGGCTTCCTCCTATTGGAATTCTGCTTTCCTTAGCATCAGACCCTCCTTAAGATCACAGGTAAAGTCACTTCCTTTCCAATGTTATCTTTGACTCTCTCAATCTTTACCTGTTGTACTGTCCTCCCCTTGCTCATGGATTTGCTCAAGCAGGCACCAGTAATATCTCCATTGTGAGACTTGTTACTGTTTTTGGCATATCGAATATGCCATGGGGAGCTTGCCATACTCTGCAGTGTGGACAAGATACTCTCCGTGGCTTGCTGCGCTCTCTGAGAAGGACGGAGGAATCGAACCCGGGTTGGCCGCGTGCAAGGCAAACACCCTACCTGCTGTGCTACTGCCCTTTCAATTCTTTCCCAAGTAACTTATAACTTACAGATTTGTTAATGTGACTACATGAGCCATGACTGTTCTCCTTCCCTTTCTTTTTGCCATCATCTATATTCACCCTGGGTTTTTCCATTTCTCTCAAAACTGCCTCCTTCTAATCATCTTGGTTGTCCTTATAAAGAATCCAGAACCAATAGAAAACAATACTGCGTTTATGATTAAAGACCTATTAGTGTCCTATCTCCTCTACTGACCTAGATAAGTCAGTACTTTTTTGTTTTGTTTTGTTTTGTTTTGGGGTCACACCCATCTATGTTTAGGGTTTACTACTGGCTCTGCACTCCGGAATCACTCCTGCCAGTACTCAGGAACCATATGGGATGACGGGATTGAACCTGGGTCAGCCTCGTGCATGGCAAATGCCCTACCCTCTGTGCTATTTCTCCAGCCCCAGTCGGTATCTTTTAAATAAAAAAAACACTGAAATAATATGTTTCTTTGTTCATCTTTCATAATCGAATGAGGTTATTATAAAACCTTTAAGAAACATAACACATAAGAAAGGTTCTAGTTACTTCTCTATGAACTTTAAAAACAAGGACAAGGAGGATTAGTCGTTAGTTGGAAGCCTGCCTCAAAGGAACAAACATGATAATCTCATAATATCTGTTACAGACCATGGTGCCCAGAAAAGAGGGGTCGAGATGGGGGGAGAGAGAGACAGAGACAGAGAGACAGGGACAGAGACAGAGATAGTCTGCCATAGAGGTTGGTTGGGGCATGGGAGGGTGGCGGGAATGAAACTGGGGTCATTGGCAGTGCAAAATGGACATTGGTGGAGGGATGGGTGTTGGATCATTGTATTACTGAAACTTGATCATAAACAGCTTTGTAACTATGTATCTCGTGGTGACTCAAAAGAATAAAAAATTATAAATAAATAAATAAAAACCACATTAATTCTGAGAATAGATCTCTTGGTGTATTCAGGCCCGTATAAGGTACTGGCACTGACACAGACACATCCCTGATTCCCTGTTTCTGTTAATAACCTCTGGGGTCACATTAGGGTTTTTGAGAGTCGCATCATAACCTTTATGTTGTAGAGTGGCTCAAACCACCTTCATACCTATTTATTGCTGTGCCTTGTAGAGCCGGTCATATTTTCAATTTGGTGACAGAATTTAAACTGATCTGAAGAAGAATTGACTATTTGCTACTGTAATTGCCCTTCTTGTAAGAGGGTAAAAGCAGGAAATAAATAGTTTGTCCGTTAGTGAATCCTGTTTGTGTTGCTAAGCATATTTTTCTTACACTTGAGTAACCACATTCTTACCTAAGCATAGTTTACTAATGTGATTTTTTGTTTATATTGAAATAAGATACCTGTATCTTCTGATGATAAATAGGCTTTACCCTCTGAAATGGGTTTTGTTGTTCTAGGTTGCTAAAAGATCTGCAAATCCATGTATTCTTACAAAATAAGATGAATGTGAAATGACCAGGTATTCTGCTTAATTTGAAGTGATACTTTAAGAAGTTGAAAACAAATTAATGTGAAATCTGCTCTTTTTGAATCTTTGACTTTAAGCTTTAGATTATTTCTCTTAAGATTGCATTTTATACCTTAAGGCTATTTTTAAGTACATATTTTAAAAAGTTACAGTGAAGGCATAATGAAGTTGATGCTTTAAAATCCATTTTTCAGCAATTTAGAGCTTTCGGGGTTTTGTTTTGTTTTGTTTTTGCTTTTTGGGTCACATCCGGCAATGCACAGGGGTTCCTCCTGGCTCTGCGCTCAGGAATTACCCCTGGCAGTGCTCAGGGGGCCATATGGGATGCTGGGAATCGAACCCGGGTCAGCCGCGTACAAGGCAAACGCCCTACCCGCTGTGCTATTGCTCCAGCCCCTAGAGTTTTCGTTTTTTAATGTTTATTATTTTACTTTTGTCTTCCCAGATTTGAAACCATTTCTATGGGTGTGGAGATCTGTACAGAGAGTCTATATGTGATGGTTTATAAAATGACATTTGGAACTTTGGGATCCGGTAGATTTTTCTACTGTACCCCATATGTGTGCTCTATCAATGAGCCACACCCCTGCCCTGTTTTATTCCTGAGAACAATCATATATTGCAAAACTAAGGCAGGTGAAGTTTTCTTCCGGAACTTACTTAAATTGTGATTGATTCATTTATAAACCTCTTTCAGAGGATTGAAAAGTATGCTTGGTTGTGAGAATCGGGGAAAATAACTAAGATGTAAGTATATTCTAAACTTTCCTTCATTTGCAGGAGTAAGGAAAGGGAAATGGGTGGACAAACCACTCCCTAAACAGCCTGTCGTCTTTATAAAGATCCACAGGCTTCGGGCCTCATTGAGTCAGGGTGAAATGGAAAGTCTCACGAGAGTTCCGTGGCACAGACTGCATTGCCTTGGAGGAGTGATATCTGACAAACAGCCACCTCTGTGAATATAAATGCATTTTTATAAAATTTTACTTATTGGTACTATGGTTTCAAGTCCTTGGAATTGATGGGTCACTTCATCTGTTCATTTTTTGTGGCATCCCTATTCTTGTTTTCCTTTGAAACAATGCATCCATTGTGCTGATTTCGCCAATATTATGAAGATGTGAGATTATAGGTTGCTATGACGACTGCTAAGTGATTCAATACGTGTTCTTCAGATATTTATGCTATATCCAAGAAACTCCACCTCAGTCAACAAAATGGAAATCGTTTCATTTAGGTTTTGGAAACCTAATTCAACTTTATCTTTTGTAGGTTTCCATTATACCCAAAAGGCGGTGAGAAGTTGCAGTTTGATTATGGAGTCTATCTTCTGAACAAAAATATAGCGCAGGTAAGAAACTCCTCTTCAGCCCTCGCCCTCCCTGGTACAGCCTGCTTCCTCGTTTATGCATATGAAATACCATTGACTCTTTGATTTGCCAGTTTCAGTGGTAATGAATGTTTCACAAAGTTTCATTGTTGTTGTATCACAATATTATTTGGGGCCATTTTACTGCAGAGAAGCAGAGGGCCTAAATTGGAGTCCTACTGACCTCAGAAGTCGGTCGTTGAGTTGTTTGCTTATACTCATTTGCCCTGTAGCTGCTCCTGTAGCTTCATATTAATAATCTTTTCAGACAACGTTCTTCTCTTAGGTCACTTTTAGCTGCTCATTTTGCATCAGGGGTTATTTATGGAGTAGTCAGTTAGTGCCTTTGCAGATCTTTAATACGCTTCTTAACCAAGACCCGAAAAGAAGAGACGGAGTCCTACTGACCTCAGAAGTCGGTCGTTGAGTTGTGGTCTTGGTCTTGGTCTTGGTCTTTTTGTGGGTTTTTACTTCACCCAGATAGAAAGCATTAAATGCCTGTGTTTACATAAAGAAATTTGCCGCATCCATTTAGCATCCTGTGTGTTTTCTAGTTGTAAAGCATTGGCTTCAAGATTTTGTTTTCATGTGGGCATTTATCCAGCTGGAGTATCTCACGGATGAGAATCAGTTAGACTCTTATTAAAGACATTACTAATTATATCATCATAGACTACTCTCTTTTATAGAAAAATGAGTTTTCTGATGCTTTTATTTTTCTGAACCCATAACGTTCTATCTGTATGAATCTAAAGCCTGGCCAAATAGTTCCCTTATTCGTTCCTAACTGATCTAGAGTTATTCTCTTATATGGATCTCAATTCCCCTGACCCTGAAAGAGCCTCCAATATGGCGGTGTTGGGAAAGACGAATAAGGAGAGACTGCTAAAATTTCAGGGTTGGGACGAATGGAAACATTACTGTCACCTGCTCGAGTAAGTCGATGAACAACAGGATGACGGTGATACAGTGATGGTATCATCTTTGCAGCTCACCCCTCATCCAACTTACTGTTTTCTTAATTTGGTTTGTTTGTTTTGGGTTTACACCCAACCATACTTGGGACTTACTCCTGCCTCTGTGCTTGGGGATCGAACCTGGGTTGGCCACATACAAGGCAAGGCCCCACACTCTGTACTATTGTTCGTACCCCAACTTGTTTGTCTTTTTTTTTATAAGATATTTTTTCTTTCCTGATAGTGTATCAGGTTTTCAGTTCGTAGCCCTTCATCATATTCATTTACTTCCTAGCGTCATTCTCTGCCCTCCGGGTTATGCTGCTTCTACAGTAACTTACCCTCCAGTTCCTGTTCCTTGACTCCAAGAAACCAGCCTTGCTCACCACCTCTGCCCTCGACTCACCTTTCTGTGTGCCCTTTTTCCCACGACTGATGAAATCTGGTACTCCACTTTTGGCAGAGAATAAGACCAAACGATCTTAATACAATAAATAGGATTTGAACTTCCATTTATTGGAAGGACAGCCTTAGAAGTGGTCAAGAAGTGGGCAGAACTCAATGCCTCTTTGGCTGATCACAGCGCCCAGGAGGAGAGAGAGAACAGGGGGGAATGCCCTGCCACAGTGGCAGGGGGGGATGGGGGGATGGGAGGATGGGGGGGAGGGATATTATCCTGGTGGTGGAAAATGGGCACTGGTGGAGGGATGGGTATTTGATCGTGGTATGACCGAGATCCAAGCACAAAATTTGTAAATCTATAACTGTACCTCATGTTGTTTCACTAATAAAAAATAAAAAAAAAAAAAAAAAAAGAAGTGGGCAGAGTTTAGTGGAGAGGTGAGTTGTCACTATATCCCAGAGCACTTTGAGTCACATTGGCCTTGGTGGAAAAGAGCACCTGATCCTGGAGTCCAGAGTCTAGTCAGTAAGCGTGGCCTCATTCAGTAGAGTAAGTTCTGACTTGACTTCAAAGGATTTTCTCTTCTTGTTTGTTTTATATGTCTTTTCCTTTTTCTTTTTTTATCTATTTGTATATTTATTTTTGCCACACCCAGCAGTGCTCAGGGCTTACTCCTGACTTCTGTGCTCAGGGATCACTCCTGGCATGCTCAGAGGACCATGCTGGGAATCAAGCCCAGGTCAGCCATGTGTAAGGCAAACTCCCTACGCACTGTACTGTGGCTCTGGCCCCTGTTGTCTGTTTCTTGCCTCAAGACATGCACCCTAAAGCCAATATGTGTCAAATCAACTCTAATTAAGGTGGGGACCTAGATTTCTTCATAAGACAGCATCTTTAAACACACACAGACATGCTCACGCACATATTCTCAGACACACAGACATCATTCCTTTTTCTTCAAATTCAATATGAGCGCCCGAAGAAGAGCATGAATAACTGCGCTTTGCTCTGAGATCAGGACAAAGAGGAAGGATAGCTGTGAAGTAAAAGTTTTAAGAACAGTCAGCATTAGACTTTCCTCTCTCGCATCTGTTGGATACTTCTTTCTCAAATAGCCTCTAACTTTATTAATAAATAAGCAAAGCTACCCGTATGCCAAGCACAGTTATGTTTAAATGGATTATTTCTAATAGTTTTATTTTTCTTTCACAAGTTTGCAAGTTTACTCTTATTTGGAGAGAGAAAGTAGAGAGAATAAGACCAAGAGGCAAACCCCACGACATACATAAAATATAGGTATCTTGTCCGTGTATGTGTGTGTGTGTGTGTGTGTGTTAGTAGTTTTGTGGTCATTTTAAAAGGAGAGGACAATAAATTTCTAAAACATACTCTTCGTCTTCGAGTTCATTCAGGAAGTCCCTTCTCAGCCTTTCAGCAACAGAAAAATTGTGACCTTTAACTTTTTCTTTTTTCACTTCAACTTGATTACATCTCTTAGTATTTTGTGGGGAATGTTTTATTTCTCTTTGGTTTCACTGCCTTTGTTTTATTATATTTTGACTTATAGCAAATCTTAAGGATCACTATTATGGTTTAACTTTTTTTTTACATCAATAACATATTGCTAAGTTTTGAGGGGTTATTTTGTATCAGTACACATTGTATCAATGGGGGTTTATGTGCGCAGCCACTCTCATTTATACTCTAGAGATGTGAACAAATCATGCCATTAAAATGGTCCCACCTCAGTAATTTATAAGCCACCTTAGTGGAGGTGGATGAAAGCATTGGCATGTGTTAAAGTGCCAGAGAAAAGGAGTGAAGTCATTTAATACTGAATCCATAACTTGGTCGAGAAATTGAATAGTCAATAGAACCTTTCATCACAACCAGAAGTCGTAGTAAAATCACTTTTTTGTTGGAGGAAATGACAGAATTTTGTAATATTTGTTGCTTCAGTATTTGGGATCTGTCCAGCCCCAGTTTTGAAAGCACAAACTTAGAAAGACAGGCCTTCAAGTAGAAAGTCTCAAAGGCTGTTTGAAGAACTGAGAGGATTGGTGAGACCTGCTTACCCTCTTCCTGTCTGTGTTGTCTAAAGGGAATGTATGTGTGTGTGTGTGTGTGTGTGTGTGTGTGTGTGTGTGTGTGTGTGTAATACATTGGATACTGACTGAACATGAATAAAGCAAAGTGTCTTATTTTTAGCACTTTTCCTAGTAGTTTTCAAGTACCTGCCACTGAGGATGAAAACAGCCTTCTTTGTTGGTTGGCATATAACTAGTAGAGATCTCAGTTACCACGTGAAAGACCAGATGAGGGTGAAAGTGTGGGCAGCAAAGTAGTGAACAGACTTTAAATTTGGATGCTAAGCATCAGTGATCACCAGGAAAATACAAGTCAAATAAAGGTAAAGGTAAAGGTAAAGGTCCTCCCGTTGATCGTCGATTTGCTCGAGCGGGCCCAGTAACGTCTCCATTGGAGACTTTGTTGTTACTGTGTCTAGCATATCGAATACTCTCGGTAGCTCAAATCTACAGTGAGATAACACCTCACACCTGTCAGAATAGCTAACATACAAAGACAGGAAATACCAAAAATGTTAAAGAAAAGGGAACCCTGTTAGGGCCCGGAGTGATGGTACAGCAGGTAGGGCATTTGCTGTACCGTCACTCTGGTCCCAGTTTACGTTGTTTTTTGTTTGTGTTGGGGCCACACCTGGGTTACTCCTAGCTCTACACTTAGGAATCATTTGTGGTGGTGCCTGGCAGACCATATGAGATGCCGGGGGTCAGAACCAGGTCTGCTGCATGCAAGGCAAACACCCTTCCTGCTGCACTCTCTCCCCACTACCCCCACCTTCAGTATTTTAAACTGGCAAGTAATTTTATTTAGTTAAAGACAAACCACTTATTTAGTGATAGCCTGAGCTTTTTTCCAGAGTAGCCCAATGAGTAACATTTTTGGGTTGGGGGGGGGGGCGTTGGTCATACCCCGCTGTGCTCAGGGATCACTCCTGGTGGACTGTAGGGACCATGTGTGGTTCCAGGAATCAAACCAGGGTTACCATATACAAGGCAAGTACCTCACCCACTGTACTATCTCAAGAGCCCCAACAAATGACTTTTTGCTTGGAGAAAAGTATTTAAAGAATGTACCTCAACTAGAATATTTATATGTGTGTGTGTGTACATATATACACACACACACATGAATTTAGTTGATATTGAAGTGACCAGCTTAGGTTTAAGCTATTAAAGGAAATCATAATAAAATTGTTAATATGTAAATTTTTATACCAGTTAAAGGAACGTCTATCTAGATTTCTAAATGTGCTAACTTGGGTAACCAGGGAAGACAAAAATGGGTATCTTAATTAATGTAGTATGATTCAACGAATGGCCAAAATCCTTTAAGATCTAATCCTTATCTAAGGATAAGATCTAATGGCCAAAATTGTAATAAGACAACTAAAATAAATGCCATATGATTGAGTGTTGAAGAGTAAATACTATCCAGGGTCTGTTGATTTATATGATTTGGGGTGATTTAATCTTTCTCTGTGTCATTGTTTCAACTGTAAAAATGAGGATGAGGTAATAATACCTACTATTACAGGCATT